GGAGCCGAGCTGTCCGCGGAGCCGAGCCAGCGCTGACTTCGCGCCCTGTCCGCGGAGCCGAGCCAGCGCTGACCTCGTGCCGTGTCCGCGGAGCCGAGCCGGCGCTGACCTCGCGCCGTGTCCGCAGTCGTGCCCGGCTGGATCTCTCGGTGGTGGTGGGTGAGCACGACCTGACCCGGGCCGAGCACTCCCAGGAGAGGCACCGGGTGGCCAAAGTGATCCGCCACGGCCAATATCGCTACCCCAGCTTCCAGAAAGACATCGCGCTGCTCCGGCTGAGTGACAAGGTGAGCTGCGCCAGGCGGCCGCCGCCTCGCCGCTCGCGTTAGTGGCAACGGCGCGCTCCGGCGCCGCTGCCAGCTCCGGCTCGCAGATAAGTGGTGTGCGATCAGGCCTTTCCTTGTCGCGATGGCGACGGTGGCTTAGCGTGTTCAGTGCCGGCGCATTTCTACAATTGGTCCTTACTCGTGGGTCTTAGAACTGGACTGCGCTCGACGTAATGACCATTCAGGAACGTAACACGAGCATTGGGGAATAAAATTAGAGTGAGCAATCGTTAAGCGCTCAATTTTTTTCTACTAACCCCGTTTTGAACACAAGTACCTATTAGTTCAAGTGAAACGCCTCTGCGCTGCTGCGACAGTTACGGTCCACTGTGGTTGCTTCGCTGCAGCCTACCTTCAGCTCAGCTGACTCCCGTGTCCGTTCCAGATCACCTGGGACCAGTACAAGCAGCCGGTGTGCCTGCCCAGCGTCGGCTCGCCTCCCGTGCAGGGCGACCCAGCCACCGTGGCCGGCTGGGGATGGCTCGAAGAGTACTCCAAAGGTCACTATCGACAACAATCCCCAAATATCGCTTGGTGTGGCCTTTGTCAAGCGTTGGCACAGTGTGGCATACTGGCTCCTAGCTTACGACATCAAACGGCATACGCCATCTTTTACAAGTATAACTCGGATCGGCAAACGGAAGCGGCGGATACGCCTCATACGCCGGTGTTTGCTGTTAAAAGTTCACTTGTAACCCGGACGTTTCGCAAGTCAGCACTGTGGCAATGTCGGTACATTAAATCCTTTGGACATAAGGTGCTGACAATGCTGCCGTAAGGGGTATTTGGAACAATGCATTGGTCAAAAGCGCCATTCCATGCGTAAGCGTGCCGCCATGGCTTTGGCACAAGAAGGCCGTGTGTGGACATGCGCTGCGTACCGACGCCACGTGCTCCGCCGGTAACGCAGCATTCCCACGTGCCGACGCAGGTGGGCAGCAAGCGAAGGTGCTGCAGCGGGTTCACGTGCCCGTGGTGACGGCCACCACGTGCTCCAGCTGGTTCAGCGAGGCCGAAAAAGGCGTGACCGTCAGACGCGGCCAGCTGTGCGCCGGCTACAAGAGCGGCGGCAAGGACGGCTGTCAGGTCAGAGAACGACAAGGACGGCTGTCAGGTCAGAGGGTGGTGTCAGATCAGCGGGCTGTGCGTGGCCCTGTCAGGCCAGAATGCGTCATGTGTCTCTGTCAGGCCAGAGTGCAAAATATGTTTCTGTCAGGTCAGAGGAGGCACGCAGCTCTGTCAGGTCAGAGGGCTGCACGTGGCTCCGCCAGGCCAGAGTGCGACATGTGTCTCGGCCAGGTCAGAGGAGAAACGCAGCTCTGTCGTGGCTCCAGTGCGATCCCTTCGCGGTTCTGCCGCCGTCCCGGTATGGTTCCGGTGCGGTTCCATTACTGCAACGGCTCTCTGGGCTGTGTGCGCGGTCAAATGCATTCACCTGAGATTAATACGGCGGAGAGCGCTGCATTAACAGGTCTGCGCCGGATGTAGCCGGCACCATCACGAACACCGCATAGGTGCAGTGTCCCGTGCTATGTTGGCGCCGCACGAACCCCAGGCGGGCGGAGCTGTGCTGACTTGTGACGCCTCCGGTTGCAGGGCGACAGCGGCGGTCCCCTCGTGTCCCGGCGGAACGGTCACTACACACTGATCGGCGTCGTATCGGCCGGCATCGGCTGCGCTCGCCCCAACCTGCCCGGCATCTACACCGACGTGCACGAGTACCTCGACTGGATCGTCGAGAACGCCAGCGGCAGCTAACCGAAGACGCTCCGGCCAGCGGCCGGGCGGTCTGCTGTCAGAGCGGCAGCACCGCCCGTCGTGACGGCGAGTGTGGAGGCGCCGGCGCCCGCTCCGTCGTGTTTGTTGCTTTAAAAATGGGCAATTCTGTGACACCTGGCTAGTTCACCGCGACTGAAAACGCGACCTTCGACGGTCGCTCGTCAAGTTCTCACGCCCGTGTCCATAACCGTCATGTGACCGGGCTTTGCTTGTCATCCAGAGCTCCCGGTACGCTCCCATGTGTCGGTGCGGCCTTCGGCCGCTCAGCTGGGGATGAGCATGCCGCACCTCTCCGGTGTTCTCCGGACTGTCGACTGCAGTGGCAGCAGGGGCTACGTTGGCGTGCGGCGATACACGTGGGCTAGCTGCCTCACCGCGGGCATGCACAGGTTATTCAGTTGTCGCTGGCATCCATGTCTACTAAATTTCATGCAACATGAGGACGAGTTACAGTCAAAGGAGTTAATTCCCGTCCATGATGATTGCTCGTTGACAGCTACCTCGAATAAATTGCATGAATTAGCTCATGAGTTAATTACATGGCTTGGTTCCTAGGTAATTACATTTGTGTTAAGTAAGATGTGGATGCTGCAGCGCTAGACCTAAGCTCGTGAGGAGACCATCATTCAGTTAGGCATGTGGGGAGAGTTCGGGAGAATATTGCAAGAGACTGAAGTGCCTCCGCAGCTAAGACAGAGCGTTCGCATCTCACCGTGACGGCCCTGCACGAAGATAAACACCTGTCTGATCCCGTCCGTACGCCACGCACCGAGCACGACGGCAAGTGTGTGCCATCGTGCCGAACCGGGAACGACGGCAAGTGTGTGCCATGGTACCGTACCGGGGGCGACGGCAAGTGTGTGCCATGGTACCGTACCGGGGGCGACGGCAAGTGTGTGCCATGGTACCGCTCAGGTCTGTCTGTTACATGATGCAATTTAAAGGGAGCGAATGTCCAGTTTAGTGCCTACTATTGTGTCCATCCGCGATGCCCCATGTCTATTTGATGGTGTTTGAAATAAATTGTTGCTGTTGACGAGTGCGGATGACCGGGCTTTACGTCAGACCGGTTGCGATTTATGTGAGGTCAACGCACAGAGTGGCGTAGCTGACGAGTTGTTGACCATTGTTTCGTCCTGTGAATGATGTGCGCACGCAATTACACCAAATAAACGGCCGTAGATGAGTAAGGTTTCGCCTGATATCAGGATTTCATGACGTCTTACAGCTTGGGACTTGAGTGTTAAGCTCCTCTCATGCTTCAAATCAGACTCCTCATGAGTGGCGAGGAACAGGAGCACAAAACAGGCTGGGTCAGCTGACCGTTCAGCTATACAGCCATCGCTGACAAGTTAACCGGTGGGAGTGGCTCAAAGACATGAAATGTTTTTGTCCTTGGTACTTACATCATCCACATTTCAGCTGTGTTGTCTTTGTGGTCGCGTAAACAAATGCAGGGCGTACTTGATTCAGAGGTAAATATATCTAACAGTGAATTTCGACGGCATAGACAATGGGGATGAATGTGGAATATTTGGCGGGCTTACAGCGTATACGTTTGAATGTCCATGACGTATTTCACGTACCCGGAGAGTTCTGGCGTTTACATCGACTCGCACTGCATTGAAATCAAAAGGGGTGTTTATCAAGAACCAAGATTTACTACTGAATTGTGCTGGAAGAATCAGCAGGAACTAGGATCCAGCTTGAACCCAAGCGAAGAGATACAACAAGGACCTATATCCTGTCTGGGGTATTAACAGTAATACAGCAAGAGCCAAGATCCACCCTGGAATTTAGCCGAGATGTTCAGCAAGGATTCAGATTCAGCTTAGGATATATTCAGAAATCAGGCTAGAATCCCAGTCCTGGCGGGAATTCTGCTGACGATCCAGCAATAGCCAAGGTCCAGTATGATGTCAAAGGAACCAGCGAGAACCAAATCTTAGCCGGAGTTATTGCCAGGAGCCAGTGGGTATCCACACAGTGCATATCATTAGATAACTACAACATGGAAACCCGATCCACCGCTTACGAAGGAACCACTGATGAGAAGGAAATAGCAACCGTTCTTTTCTGAGCGAGCCACCGACAACCATAAAAATGGGTCTGTCGTTTTTGAGGAACCAATGGTAACCACGAACCCGTGCTTGGTCTTTGTGACTGAACAAGCGGGAGCCACAAACCATGGTCTGATGTTGGTGACGGAACTAGTGGAAATAAGAAACCAAGGTCTTGTGTTCGTCAAAAGCCAATTTTGACTGACTGTAGTGAAGGCTGGATGCATTGTGGGAGCGCGATTCTTGTCACACGCGACGATGAATGAATTCTGGACATGTGCTGTCAGCCAGGCCCTATTAGGTCCTATGGTAGCGGTATGCGGGGCAAGTCTCTGTCATCTCTACGCTCTCTTTGCTCTAAGGAGGGGGGGGGTCCCTTAACGGACACGTGGTTCACGATATCATCGCTAAATATGTGCAAGACAACTCTGCCGTTTCCATACCTGTGGTTAATCGCTGCTTCGAAGGTACTGGATTGGCCCGAATGACCGCTTACAATGTCTTAAAGAATCTGCAGAGAAGAGGGATGTTCGTTACACCGTACACCTGATTAGACCTACACCAAATGAGGCACACTTAATGTCTTTTTTAGAAATCCACGGAAATGCAGTAAAGCTAGCCATTTGGCTGTGGATCTAAACGTGTTTTACCCCTTAGCATAAATTCTTGTCCACTCAGGTTAAGCTTTCTGGCGGCTATTGTGATTTCATTGGCCCAGTAATTTCGGTCCTTACCCTGGGTCTCTCGAGATGCATGGCCTCAAAATGGCTACGAATTTGTTTTGTATCAACACGATTCCACTTCACATCGGTTGTCTTGTTGTTTTTTTTTTGTTTTTTTGGCGGTTCTCTGTGGTGAAACGCAGGTGTGCATCAGCCGAAGTGCATGCTTTATTTGCTTGCGTCTTAGGTGTTATCGTTAAACCATGCCAGGCCGCCTGTACCAATGGGTTTGGCTTAATGCGATGCACAATGCCCTTCTTGGCCAAGCACACTGGACACAAACATTTCTTATCTGGCAGCATTAAATATATATGGCCCAATAAAGAACAAAATTTCATGACCAAGCAATCTTGTAGCATCTAGCCGTTTCAGCCACCCTCGATATCTCGCACCTGTAACATTTACAGTCTCATGGCACTTCAACCTCCTTTTATCATACATGACCCGCTACCATGATACAAATATGTAAAGATCGTAATCTTCTCACGGTCATTTCAACCCAGACTGCCCCAACATGACGGCCCACTGCTTTCTTCGCTCCGCCCCCCCCCCCCCCCCCCTCCCGCCCCCGGCCATTTTGAGCCATTTAAATGTCGTTAAATCTGTAATTTTCTTGGGACAAAATGACTGTCATGCATTGCATCCGAACGAGGGTTACTGGAACGCGAAATGCGAATAGCCTAGATATGGACACGCCAGTGATAACGATATGATCTTTTTCATGTACAGGTAAGTAGGCCATGCTTTCTCAAACGACTTTGCACTGTAGCAAACTAAGCCCTTTTTCGGTGTGCAAGAACTTTAAAAAGAGTAGCTCACTCGGACACATGCCTTTCTTCAAATGCATGGCATCAGCGCCCTTTTGGAAAACACACAAGCAACGGCACAGATGGTGGGCAGCATTTTCATCCACACCCATTCCCGGCGGCTCTTGGTTTTCCTGCTTTGCTCGGTAGATAGCATCCCATGTGTCTCGGGCAGTTCAACATTTTTGGACGATGAACGGAATCGATCCATGGTGCTTCTGTTTGATTGCTTATTGCGACATGATTGCAGTTTGTTGAGCAAGTCTTTCGGCTCAAAGATATACCCAATTAATCTGGAAAAATGACAACTCAGGCCACGACCAGTCTTAACGAATGTGGTAAAGACTTGGACGCAAAGCTTTGGCGATTATGTGGCTTAAAAGCAAATCAAAGCTGCAAATACATTTTCAAGGACGATCCGGCAACATATCGCACCGGATCAATTGAAACCATGGTAAAGCACTGTGGCGTGCACCGTAGACGCACGTGCGCCTACGGTGCACGCCACATGTAACCTGTGTGACATGAGCTATGTACTCGCTGCAGGTGTTCTGGAAACATAAATCAGGACCGTGGCGAAATATCCCCTAAGCCTTGAACAAGCCGCATGGGCCTTGGGCACACATGGCCATACCAGTGCATCGACTCATTCACCTTCTGCTGACTCTAAGCCAGCTCATTACCTGACCTCACTGGAGCCAGCGTAGTCACCGATCCCACGAGATGCGGCACGGCAGCTGGTCTCACAAGACCCAATGCAGTAGCCGAACCCACCACTTACTGGTCAATCGTAATTAATATCCACCAGTGAAAAATTGGAAAAACCGAGCTATGTGAAAGAATATGATAATAGCGCACCAGTGCCCGTGGATCCATTCTGGAAATATAGTGGAGGGCTGACGCGATGAGTATCTCTTTATTTATATTATTTCTTCACTGATGTATTTGTTTCAGGTACCATTTTGAGTCCATCGTTATCATTTTGTATTACCGTAGTTCTATATCTATTACCTTTTGTTACATTATCATCAAATATTTTCATTGCACACTGCATGTATTGTCAAGTACAGAACAGAGTGGAGGAGCCCCTGCCCCCCCCCCCCCCCCCCCCCTCCTTATCTGCTGCCGTGCTTTGAGACCCAACTGCAGGCATTGGTTTTAAATCAATACGATAAACAGACGTGGTCAGGAAACATGCAAAACCATAAGGAGTGAAAAACCAAAGAACAGACAAAAACATTTTCCAATTCCTAGTATCCCATCCCCCGCCCCCACCCCCCGCAGCAACAACGTTCAGAGGCACCGTTTCGCCAGGGTGAAATCTCCATAGCAACCAGTTTTTGGCGTATTCTGCGGGTAGGCTGAGTCCTTTCCCACAGTTTCAGCCTCCC